AGAGAGAACGCTACATATAAGTAGATAGTGAGAGAACGCTACATTAAAAAAGATCGTGAGAGAACGCTACATTTAAGTAGATAGGGAGAGAAACTGTCAGTATGCTTGTGACACAACATTTACCATAGGTCGTTCATGACTACGGCATATTTGCATTAAGAAACAATATATTTTTTTCAGTTTACGCTATCACACTTAGATAATTAAAAGCGAGAATGCTAACAGTGCTGAAATGAACATGCTTCTTCGTTAATATTGTTATCTCTTACAAATATATACAGGACACGCAATGATCTTTTTTGAGAATAGAGAAATGGGGAAATCAAGGTACATAGATTGGATTGGAAAATACAGGTACAACAGGAAGCCGATGTGGCATTAAAGCATGCTCAGTCCTCTGAAGCTCTTTTCACTTTTTATTTCAGTTGTAAGAGATAGAAGCTGCACAAAATTATGACTTTAAAAGCTAATTCTATTGTTTTTTTTATTTTTTATTTGCCTGCCATTAAAAAATATCAGGATACCTACACTGTATTTGTAACAAAACAATAAATCGATAAACCTCGGGCACATTACGACCTACGGAAAGGTTTATATGAAGACAGCACTTCGTAAATATATCTGACTGTGAAATCTAAGCACTTGTCTAAGTTTGTGTTACCAGATCGTATAAGCTCATTGATAAATTCAACTAATATTTACTTAAATTCTGCAATTTTTCTTTGATGGTACTTTCAAACATACTGTCGACAAATACATATACATATCGACATTACCCCTAGTCACAACGCTACAGGATAAAGTGCACAAAAGATAAAAACAAAATATAATGTTAATGGATGAAACGATCTTTATAGAATACGACGAGGTATACCTGATAAAAAATTAATTTTGAAAACATGAAGTTGTCGTTGTTTCATAATATAACACATAGAAGGCTCGGTCTCATAAATATCTTTATCACAATCTACCTTATAATGTTCCAAATAATACACTTTTGTATTTTCAAGAAAACAGAGACGGTGTCTATTGATGTGTTGACTGCAATTTATAAGAAATTATTTTATTTTAACTACATTTAGGCTCCAAACCCGAGCTCAAATAGTTACAAAATCTCAAAATCCGTCAAACACCTTCGAAAAACTTCTTAAAGGTCCCCGTACCACTGCCCAAAACTGTAACGAAGTGATGGAAACTATTTTTTCTTGTATATCTACAGATTTGATAAATCGTTTCTGTTAAAAAAAACCCATACCTGGCAGGACTTTTATGATAAATAATAAAGATGAAAACAAACAAAATATAATCAAGTTCAGATTGATATACTATCACTCTACCTGGTCAACGGAAGTGGCATTGCCTAACTGTGCTACAGTTATATCTTAACGAAAGTCAAGGGGGTGTTACTGTAGTAACGGGGTGTAACGGCAGTGCAGTACGTGGGACTGGGATACTTAAGCCTAAATGTCTATCAAGTAATATACTTTTCCTATTGGGTCATGAAATATTAACATATTACATATCGCAAATAGCAAGACTGCGCAAGCTCCTTTGCCTTTCCTTGTTACGTGATATTATCGATGTTTTGTACAAAGGTTTATTACACATATAATATCTCTATTAGTTAATTTCTATTTACCCAGGCCATTTCCATTTCTGATAATTTTGAACCACATGCATTAAGGAGAGGACCTTGCTGGGCAATGAAAACATTTCGTTTTCAAACCATTTACATTATGACATTAAAAAATATTTTAGCTAGAAACTATGTGTACTTATTTTACACCAATTCATTGCGTTTTGGTCATTCCATCAGCGGAATACTACAAAACGATCTAGAGTTATCTTTCTTCCACTGTCTGAATAGAATCAACTCGGACTCCAGGACTGGTCGGGGCTTGGGCAGGGTCGTCTCTATGTTAACGCACATTGCGCTTCTAAATGAAAGGATGGGTATTAATGCTTATCATTATCATTTTCATTGCACAACTGTTGAAGAAGTGTCCACGAGACTAAAATGTACACTACCTTTATCAACTTATGTAGGGATCTTGCACTCTTTTAAGCAAACCTTGACAGCATTAACACCTTTTTTTTTAACTTACGTTTAAAAACAAATATATTGCACTGCTTTGGTTTGCTTGACTATGAACCTTGATCAAAAAAGTTTTATTAACAGACAATCTTTGTTGCCGGGAATGACCAAGCTAACGTTGTCTTTCTTAACTGAAATATAAACCCTTTCATCAATCATCTTTGCTTGGGGTACTATAAACCATACAGCATAGCTATCCTAATGCATCAACACACATTTAACCCCTATAGTATGAGTCGTAATTAACACTTACATTGTTTTTGTGTATTGAGTAATAATCGAGGGAGGCGTCATCCATATTAGCCAGTTTAGAATTGTCCTCCGGGTCGCGAGCGCTACTGGGCGTAGTGGGGAGTTCCGGATAAGCGGACAATGTCGACTTGGTGTGGAAGTGATCTGCCATTGGAAGCAATTCTCCAATCGGCATGCACACTGTCGTATGGGACCGCTGCAAATCGAATATACCCGCGTGCGTCTTTCGCAAAACGTCTCCCGTAGCGAGCTTACTCGAGTCAATTGTAATCTTTTGCGAAGTTCGTGAATATGGCCTATGCTGTGGACACGTTAGTTCGGAACTAGAAACGTTGACAGGATAATTTTCCATATCCGAAGTATGTTCATTTATAGTTGTTTGTGATCTATGAAACGACTTTTGGAGATCGAACACTGTCTCATGCGTTCCTTCTCCGTGGGAATTTTGTATACTAATCTTACGTAATATAATTGTAGACGGTCGATCCTCCGAGGCTGTTATTGTGTCGTTCTTGTCAACCATAACAGTATGTGAACGTTCCAACTTTCTGCTATTTCTAATATTTTCCTTTGATTCTTCTAAATACTGTTTAGATTTTTTATGCGTTTCACCGGAAGTCCTCGGATCAGCACCATTACGCGGATCGTCGTCGAAGGGTCCGTAACCCACAGGCCGAGACGACAGATGCGTGTATGAGAACTTAGCCACGCGCTGCCCATTCTTGCTTGCACGAGCAAAGTCCTGATGATACCGGCCATTGGCAGGACTGCATTGATTTATAATTAAAGGAGTTTCAAACAACTTTATTTCTTTTTCCTCACTTGGAGTCTTAGAATCGTAGCCCTCATCTTCCTCCTCATCGTGTATGTCGTCGTCTTTAGATGCGTACTTTCGGGAGTAATAAAGCATTCTGCGCATGGTGGGTGATCTCTCCTCTCCAAGGTCAGTTACCGCCCTTGTCAGACCGAAAGGCAAGCCAGTCCTGGGGAGGGTCTGGATAGCGCAGCCACTTTCTTTGTATGGCACTCCAAGGTCATCCCGCGTCTTCGACCTTTCCTCATCACTCGGACGTACAGAACCCGCCGTCCGTACACGCACTGCATGTGTGCTTCTTTTACGAGCAGGTCCATTTGGCAGCTGTGTGACTGTGTTTGGACTAGAATTTATAGAGGTGTTCGAGTTGTCTTCAATATCGGGCTTTCTTCTGAAGAAATGTTCATGTAGACTTTCTTTCTCGAATGAATCGGTGTCCTCGAAACCAGAGCACCTTCGTTTGGGTAAATGTTTGTACGTAGCGTGCTCTGGTACATTTTTGAGTTTTCCTACAAAATAGAATAAGCACTTCAAATTAATCAGTGTTTACACGAGTATTGCGTTAGTATATACAAGCGGGTCGGGCCCATTACTAACAGCGCTTCGATTTGCGTAGCTTAAACATAATAATTAGACCTAGGTTTCTCAATTATTTCTTTGTATTTGAAAACACAGCTTAGTCTAATGCATGCATGTTCAAAATCTACAAGCGATATAAAGGACCAGAACTGGAGTTTGAAGCCAAAACATATGATGGTTTGTTTACTGATCCGTTGGTTATGGTTATCGGGTGGTCAGTTAGCGCAGCGTATAGCACACTCGCCTTTTACCAGGACGGCGGGGGTCAACTCCCCGTTCGGATGAGAAAAAGTAACGGTCGCCTGCCCGACCACATTGGGTTTTTTCGGGTTATCTCACTTCCTCACACCTTGGGACTCGCTGAGCGCTAACATCCGCGTAGACCAGAATAATTAATGTTCTTTAGTAAGATGATAAAACTTGTTTCAGAATTGTTGTATAATTTCCGTATTACTTTTTAATTAAAATGAATCCTACTTGAAATGTTAACTATAGATAGCGTGACACAGTTTTTAATTGGTTTATTACAAACAAAAATCCGATAACATGCTTTCAATGTCCGTTTTGCCGAACACTTACAGTTCTTACATCATGATGTGCCACACTTTGTTTTGGTGAAGTTTCAAAACGTTGACGCATTGGCATTGATGTAGGTCATAACATTTAAATTGTCCGTTTCCTATATTTGATATTTCGAATCCGCACAATGTAAATTAACTTTGTTACAATATTACTGCAGTAAATATCTGACAAAATTGAATTTCAAATAAGCTATCAAAATTCTTTAGATTTTGATTATAACAAAAAAGAAGTAAAAACACGTTACTTAATGCTGAAGTGTTTTGCAGCTTGATGTATCAGTTATCAGTTAAAACACATCACAACATCGGTAGAGGGGTTCATAATTGATAACAAGCCCTTTATTTACTTCTAAAATCTTGCTCGACTCAACACGAAGTACTGGTGCACTCCGCATCATTGCACCCTGCTTGACATAAACGTGAAAAAATGACCTCTGTTTAGCATTAAAATAATGTTCCCGAAAGTCTACCTTAATCATAAACAGACTATATATAGTCGATACTTCGTTTGTTGGGTTGTGTATAGAGCGAGCTGACCACACGTAAGGTCAATCCAATTTGTGATTTATTATTATTGAATTGTTAGTCAGTGATCAATAGGGATTACTTTTATCCTAGTATTAGTGGCGGATCACTCGTCCTACAACCCTTACCGTGGCGCTCGTGGATTTGAACTTGTAGGTTACTCCATGTCTCGATACCTGAAACATTAAACAGAGGCGCATGTTCAAACTTTACGCTTTTCAGTACGTTGACATGTAAATTGAATCGAGACTTTACATGTTGACATGAACAGTGTCTTGGAGTCCAAAATCTTAACATTGACTAACGCGCAGATTCCTATAACGAGGGGACATGGTGCCAACTATACAGCTGTCTAAGAGGATAGTAACGCTGTTAGGCACACAGATGATCAATGGAAACTTGGGTGAAAACTAGACCAAATATTTCTAATACATATTTTCGATTTCGTGTTTTAGTACTCAGACGTCGTGTACATAGCCACTCAGAACAATATTTGCATGATCGACATTTGATCGACTTATGAACATCTGGTGGGTGTTTTTATGTCCAGCTAAGCGGCCTAACCATTGATATAAATATGGCTTGCCCAAGAAGATTTGTTGGTCATACTGATTACGTTTACCAGTGAAAGAGTTCTGAATATCCCATAAACATCAAAATCAGAGTACGGATTATCGTATATAGAGGCGTCAGTATAATGAATATCGAATAAACATTAAACTCAGGATAGTTGCCATCACATACACATCAATATTATATAACTTAATAATCAAGGTCTGTATGCTGATTGTTATATCTGGTTCGCAGATTAAAGATAGCACCCTCCAACAATCGTTTGTTTGTTTGAGTTTAACGGCCCATCAGCAACTGTGGTCATTTAGAGCCATGTTGATATATTTATTGATTCTTAACAAACATGTGACTAGCGAAGATAAAATCAGATAAAAATGAACATTTTTAAAAGCATTCGTATAGGAAGTGTAAATAATTAATGATTGCTCCCAACTTTGACTTGCCACTATGCAATGAATATCTCGAACTATTTGATTTTCTATATTATAATTAAATTTGATATTACACACAAACACAAACAAATCTTATTTTTGAGAATAAATATTGAAGATGCACATTAAAACATGCGTTACGTTACCTAGAGTATGACTAGTTACATCGTCCACTTCCCAGCCACATAGTTTCTGTGGCTTCGGTTTTTTCCTGTTTAAAAGAAACAACAACATATTAGTTGACAATGCATCTGCAAGTAGGATCATTTGAAAGCGTTGTACATGAACAGTGCAGTAAGCGACAACTACGATAATGAAATGAAACGACGTAAAACGTGTGGCGGCATGATGTACATTTAGGCCATTGCAAAGGTACAAAGAGACTGAGACCAGGTGACCAAATGTTCCGGAAGGG